TCTCAGTGCTTTATTAGTTCTTTGTTCATTACACTAAGAAATGTACCCATAAGTGACAGATGTCAATGGGCACACTGACATGTGCTGTTGAACACATTAGCCAGTTGTCAACCAAGTGACCATTTCTGTTCATCACTGCACAGAAGTCTGTGACTAATGTCAAAACATGCCAGACAGGGGCATCTTGGTGTCACTTCTTGAGTTTGGAGTTTTACAAATGAAGCCGTTCAGCAATTAACATTTGAGCTGCTTAACTTTGCATGTTACCAATTTTGTCCCACAAATGACATCAGAGCACTCCCATGCACGAATCTTGAATGTTATTCTAACCAGTAGATATATCTGAGCAAGAAATAAAATCCTGGGAAATACATCTTCCCAAACACAATTCCAGAAAGTGCAAGCAAATAATTGCCTAATTTGGTGGTCCCAGTTCTTTCAGGTGGGATTCCATGAAGGGAGAGCCTTGTCCTGTGTTTGGCATGGTGCTGTGAGACTGTCAGCAGCTGCTGAGCCTAGGCAGAGTCCTGCTCCCTCCTGCACAGTTACACGGGCTGTGAAGGGCTAAGAGGAGAGAGGATTAGAGAGTAGTAATTCTACAAAGTGACATTAAGCAGAGAGGGTTTAGACTGTGTAGGTGTGTTAAGACAGGGTAAGAATTTTAAACTTATACTTCTTTTCATGTTTGCAAAGGGATGAAACTTCAGCTGGTAAAAATGTAAAATCCTGCAGTATGCAAAGTATGACCCACTACTTAAAAAGAAAATCTTCATTTTATTTATATTTTCTGAATGTTGGTTGTTCTCATGTGATGGTTTGTCTTCTAAAATACCAAGATTATGCTTGGCTGCTGCTCAATTATTAAGATGTAGCACAATCTCCCTTTCCTACTAATGAAGCCAAGGTTGCACTTCTGGGATTTTCCTTTGTGTTTGTGTAGGTGGATGACAAAGGGAACCAGCTACAGCAAAGGGCACATCTGAGAGGCAAGATTACGTGCCATAGGACTGGGACAGAGCAGTAGAAGCTAAAGAAATTATGAGACTGAAAGAACAGCAAATGACAAGCCAATACTTTGGAAAACAAAGCAAAATCTCTAACTCCTGCAGTTAATACATTTATGAATTAAACTTCTAAATCTAAATAGCTGAAGGAATACATACTGATGTTAAAAACAATGAGATGAAAGAAAACTCAAACATTTCTCACAATTTCTAAAAAATTTGAAAGTGAGGGACCCTTTCTCCTCTCTAGTGTGACTGCCTGGATCCTATGTAATTAAAACAAATGTCATCACTGAAACTCTCCAGAGCTGCTTTGTTTTCTCTTTCTACCTCTTTACTGTGTGCCTTCCCTGCTATGTCCTACAAATTCAAATTTAATATTAGCAGTTTTGTGGACAATCAACAAGCTGTGCAGTTGGTTCAGTGCTGCATTAACATACAGCTTGTGAATAAGGGAAACTGTAAACATTGAAACATCCTTAATAGTTTTGGAAAATTATAATTAGAAGCAAAAGTGGTTTTGGTTTGGCAGTGTTATTTCTGAATATTGTCTGCCCTGCTACTGCCCAGTATTTTTTCTGAATGCTGCCTGCCTTGCTAGTGTCCAGCACAGTGTCTGCCTATGATTTAGCACTGACATACAATCTTCAAAAAGGGACATTTCCATGAAATGCAACGTTGCCCTTAGGTCACATAAGAGCAGAAGAATAAAACAGAAAAAGGAAAGAAAAAACCATTCTGTCCTCTGCCAGGTTTCCCCAGTGGGCTCTAATTATAACTGCAGTTTATTAGAGCACGTTTCAGAGCTCACTTTAAAGAGCCTGCTGTGCTTGTGTGGAGTCCTCGTGGCTTCAGCAGAACTACCCTCATAACAGCCTGCCCACATGTGATCAATTGCAATAGAGGGGGCTCAGTAAGGGCTGCTGCAGGTTTAGACAATGGATGTTTTATAGATATGGAAAACTGTTTGGAGCAAACAGAAGTGAGGACATTATAGAAATGCTCTCCCACCCCTATATTGCCATTGCTATGTATCAATTTGATCCTATGCAAAAAAATACAAAATTATCATTATTACAGAGTACCAGGTTGGAGGTATTGTACATTGTCTCATCCAGCCTGGAGCTCTCTGGCCAGGTGCTTTATCAGGACTGTCACCAAACTGTGACTGGCCTCAGTCATTCACTTCTCTTTGTGTGTCTCAGTTTCCCATTGAAGAGGCTATTGATTTACTGTCAAAACACGTAGAAATGCACAGGGTAAGTATCTATAACATCTGCAACCTCTCTCCACAGTTTCCTCATTTTCACTCCCAATTATTCTTGACTCCCAGGTATTTTTGAGTCATTATAATTTTACTAAACTTTCTAGCTGTGAAGTGTAGATTATTACTTGGCTAGCAGACTTTTGGTGACTTTTTAATAAGGCAACACTATCCTTGAGAATTGTATTATAAGATCTGCTGTTAATTAAGCTACCACCTCAAAAAATAATTGTGGCTTAATTAGAAGGCAGGCTCATCTTACAAGGAGTAAAAAGATAAATCTTTGCAGCCATAGTATTGTAGGATTGAACAATGTACCTCCATCAGAATTGAAGATTCATGCAGATATTTCCATTTGTTTCCCTTTTCTACTCTTTTCTGCCCTTTGTTAAAACTCACCTATCCTGACAGTTTTAGGACTGATGTTCTGTTTGCCTGCCTTTGAAAAAGTACTTTTTTCCTGTTCCTCTCCTTTTGACCCCTTTTTCCTTTCTATGTAATAGGGTCAAGTCTGCATTTAGTAAGCATCTCCACATGTCTTCCTAACACAAGGCAGTGCAGGAGATATGTTCAAAGCTGTGTTTACCCTCAGAGGGGCAGAAAGGGCTGGTGACAGAGCTGTCCTGTTTATGTGTGAAGCATTTAGGTGTGCAAAGCATAGATGACAAACCAATAGGGTTTTTTAAGAACACTAAAGCCAGGTCCCACATGAAGCAGCTATACATCAAGCAGAAAGGATTTCTGAGATGTGAGTCATGAGATAAAGCTTATATTTTAGGTCAAATTCAGCACCTTTTCTAACAGTGATGGTCAATTCACTCTTCCTTCCTTTTCTCCTCCAAAGCGTGATGCTGACCCCTACCCAGGCTTAGCACGCTGTACTCAGATGGCAACTTCACTGAGACCAGCTTAATAGAGACTGAAGTACTATTCAGCTCATATGTCAGAGCTAACACCAAGCCCAAAAAAGTTAAAGATGCGTCTGGTTTTGTTTTCAATACAGGAAGCAGAAGTTCTCCAGAGCTAGAGATGCAGAGAGACAGAAGAAAAAAGAGTGAACTGTCTGTGTGGTGAACAAAAGATAGCACAGAGGCAGATAAACTTGAGGCATTGGATGTAGCAGCTTTAAGAGATTTAGGACTAGCCGACAGCATGGAGACATTTGCCAGCTCTGTATTTTGAAAGCAATCCCTTCTTGTGCCTAAGCTGCCGACAGAAACAAGTTTCTTTGCTGCCAGTTACATTGTAAGGAAGGCAGTTGGCAGGAGATCTGTGCCTCCTTGCTCTCTAAAGGGGAGTCTTTGTAGCTGAACGACACTTCTGGACAAACTGCACTCTGACGACCTCGCGCACAACTCCGGTACCTTGAGGAGGGGAAGCCAGGCTGGAGCCTAACGTGTCTACAGCTTCAATCTTTGGGGCTAGGTGATGCAGAAATGAATTGAGTTTTACATCAAGCTGAAGCACAGACGAGAGGAACAAGAAGAGCTCTTTGTAGACAGGAAAGGGATCTCCTGACTACGGAAAACCACCAGGAATTTACAAGAAAACTATCAAATCTTATTGGTGCACAGTAGAACAATCCTTTAAAGGGAGGTTTCTACTCCTTTTCAGAAAATGCAAATGAAATATCGCCCCACAGAAAAATTTAAATTATACTATTCACCTTGTTTTGCTCCCATGACAGTCCCTCCACTCCTGTGAGGTCTTTGGCACCAGTTCCCAGCCTGGCCCTGACATCTTCTTCCCTAACTGCTAGCAGCTGTCCACAAGCAGGATGTAATACTGACCATAAACACGCCTGAAACTGCCAGTTCAGACCCACAATGCCACTAAAATGCACCTCTTTCACTGTAGGTGTAACTGCCCAACAGCTTATTTCCCACCTGGGACATCCAAATGTGAAAATATGCTGCTTCACTACCAGTGGGTTTCTTTACCTGGCTGTTTCTGCAGATGTGGAACCACAGGCAGTACTACCCTCCCTCTCCGTAATCTTCAAACTCTGCCCTGCACAGCCAGTTTGGGAGAACAGTTGCTCCTCTTGTGGTTTAACCCCAGTCAGCAACTAAGTACCACTCAGTTGCTCTCTCAATCCCCACCCCCTGCCACAGTGGGATGGGGAGGAGGATAGGAAAGAAGGTAAAATCCATGGCTTGAGAAAAGAACAGTTTAACAATTTAAATTAAATCTAATAGTAGTAATAATAATAATAATAATAATAATAATGGGAAAAAAACAAACAAAGAGAGAGAAATAAACACCACAAAATAAATCCCAAACCCCCAAGTAATACACAATAGAACTGTTCATTCCTCATTTACCAATATCCAACCAGTTTCTAAGTAGCATCCTCTAGCCAGTTTTTCCCCAGTTTGTGTACTGAGGCTGATGCCCTGTGGGATGGAATATACCACTGGCTGGTTTAGATCAGCTGTTCCAGCTGTGTCCCCTCCCAAATTCTTGTGCCCGTCCAGCTTTCTTGCTGTCAGGGCATGAGACACTAAAAAGTTTTGACTTACTATATGCACTACTTAGCAACAACTAAAAACTTTGTTGTGTTATCAAGATTATTCTCACGCTAAATCCAAAACACAACATTACAGCATCTACTAGGCAGGATGTGAACTCCACCACAGCCAAGAACAGCCAATCATTTCAGGCAGTGACTTAAAAGTGATTGCTGAATATGCCATCTTCACTTTAAAGGAAGAATTTGCTTTGTCTCTTACCTGTTCTATACCCAGTGTTATTGAGGTACACAGCGAAGGTGCGAGGCTCGTGAGTAGCCTGCCATGAGGGAGAAGAGCAGTTTTCATTGTTGGTGTAGATGTTGTGGTTGTGCACATACTTCCCAGTCAGCATGGAGGAACGAGATGGGCAGCACATGGGGGTAGTTACAAAGGCATTGATGAAAGAGGCCCCTCCATTCTCCATAATCCTCCTGGTTTTATTCATCACTTGCAAGGACCCTGCAATAAGAGGTATTGATCACCACTGCGCTGTTAAAAGACAGTTTGAATATATTGCCTGTTATTGTGCTGTTAAAAGTAAAGTGTCAGTGATTAGCTTGCCTCTGAACACCAGTGTGCTTCACTCTGTAGCTTTGGTAATTTTAGGAGAAAAGATCACATTTTTACTACACCAACAAAAATACTTCTAAGGATTCCAGAAAGGTGGAAATATTTTTTTTTCCTCAGACTTCAAAACAAAGTTAAAATATGGACTAATTTAGAAATAGTGTCAAAGCTGTATCAAATTTATAGGTCAATAGTTCTTCAAATGCAGCTGTAGAAAAGCAGTATGCTACATAGACTGAATTATTAGTCAATATGCCAGTAAAATACGTAAAATACTGAGATTACCAATGAAAATGTTAATACTTTTTCCATTTTATCAGATGCCAGAAGAAAGAGAGAAATAGAGAGAGGAAGGGAGTAAAGAAAGGTGTGAGAGACAGAAGAAGGAAGGAGAGAATTCAGTAGCAATTTTTCTAAAGGAAAGTTTCTGTGGACACAAGGTCAGCATTTCTTGTTCTGATACTAAAGCATTGTACTCAAAATCAGTTTTTGGAGCTAAAAATGTATGCAAAAAATTGCCAAAATGCAGTCCTTTTCTCAAGAAATTGCATTCATGCTGTTTATAGAACAAAGACTTTTTTCATCCTTCAAAGCATCTTCATGAACTGCAAGGTGAGACAGGCAGGGCTTACAGATTTCTGATTGCATAAAGGCTGAGCAGCCCTGGATAGAGTCTGTCAGTATTTGCTGACAGCTGTCAAAGTTTGTTCTTTATGTTATCCAACAGAGCAGAGATTGAAGGTTGGGGGTGAACTGTGGATATGTTAGTATGTGCCTAGGAAACAAGTCTGTGAATTGCAGTACTTGCACAATGTTGGTGGTAAAAAAAGTTTTATGGAATTTTATTTTTCTTTTTATTTTCCTTTGTTTTTTTTGCACAGTTGACTGTTCTTTACATTTAAATCCGTTGATTCCTCTGATACAACAAGAATTTTTCTTGATGGTTTTATGTTGCTTAAAAATCAATTAAAAATGTTCTAAAGCAAGTGCAAACCTGCCTGTAAAACCATAAAACTTCCAAGGAGACTCAACTTTAGATGTTAGCAGTAAAATCTTAATAATTATCTTTTAGTTAAGAATGACCTGTTTTGGTTTTAGGCCAATGAGTCAGTGCTGAATATGAAGACTTTTGTGTTAAAAAAATTGTTTAAAAAATGGAAGGGGCTGTAGGGTCTTCAGCATTTCATTTAAAATTCCAGAGTCTCTGTCCTTAATGATACATTTAATACTGTGTAGGAAAGTCACCATTGGACTCTTTGTCTTTCATAGCCCTTATTTTCTAAATGCAGAATACCTGCATTTGTGCTTTCCTGAACCCCATGTGCTTAGGGATATAGAAAAGAAGAAGAGTAACTGAGAGGTCCCTGAACACAAAAGGTTTCCATTTACATGAGTAGGAGCATTTCACTGAATTGGTAAGGAAAAGACAAATGAGAGATCATCCTCATTCTACATGCTTTTATCTTGGACCTCAGGCTGACTTTTTAGTTTTTGTTTAGTTTTGTTCTGTTTTGTTTTCACCAGAGCTCTTCCATTTTTGAAAAGTCACAGTTTTTTCCTGAGAGCTGAGTGGTAAAGTGCTTGGAGGTGCTCCGATAAAAGTGGGCTATTCAGGTACCCTAATGCACAGTAACTGCAGCAGAGCTGATCTGCACTTTCCTGCCTCCATGTATTATAAATGAGTAGCTGTTAGAGTGCTTCCTCATTCCTCCAGCTGGTCAGCCCTCTGCTCTTGCAAACCTGCTGTTTATGACTAAGTTTTCCCTCCAGGTATGTACTTATTGACACTGATAATAGATTAAGCCCCTCTGGAAATTCTGGAACAGGCACTTCAAAGCAGGTGAGACTTCCTCATTTGGAAAACAAAACACAAGCAGGAGATAAAACTTGCTGATATAAGTTATAATCCTTTGCTGTCTGTGGCTCTCCTCACAGCTTGTGTTTTTTACCATCTGGCCCACAGTCTTCAGGGCACACTGTCTGTCAGCAGGACACTCACGCTCTACATGACTGGTTGGGGAGCACCTGAGGGCAACCAGAAAACTGGGAATGGCCACTTTGGACACAAAAGTTAGTGAGTTTTGTCAGACAAGAAGTTCAGTGTCACTTCTCAGTCTACTCTCATGCCTCAAGAAATATGTTTGGCAACCAAGGTACCAGGTCTTTAAAGTTGTGCTGGATTTTCATCACGGGTGGGCATCTCTACAAAGGGACATTTAGGAGCCACCCTGTCTTTATAGGGGGTGTATGCAAGGCCCCAGGAAAGTAATGGACTTTTTCAGATCTCAGCACACATCCCCATTTTTTCAGCTCATGTTTTTTTAGTGCTCTAGTTCTAGGGAAGATGGAAAGCACACCAGGCAAATTATGCCTGATGTGATATATTTAGATGATGCTGTGATCTCTTTAGCCAGTGCTCTATTCAGTAGCTGGTTTATATAGATTTCACTGGGTGGTGCATTAGGCTGTAAAAAAGGGTGAAAACCACTCCAACTACCAAGATACCGATTAGTTTTTACTCCTTTCTGACATTATCCAAGATATTTTTTACAGTGAGGACTATAAGAGTGATTGGGGTGCCATATTTGGAGGTACTGATGTGTGCAAATAATAGAGAATTGGGAGGACAGGGGAAGAGATCAAAAAGCAAGAAAAATGTTGGACTGAAGAGGATATGGGCCTGACCCCAGTGGGAGCTGGGCCACTGCCCTGAGGAGCTACAGCATGTTGTCTGCAGGAGGGAAGAAGTTCTGGGTTCTGGGAGCTTTGCCTTGAGCAAGATGCCCCTTCATTGGGCAGTGAGTCCTCTACCCTCAGGACCTTGGTAGGGTAAAGACAGTGCACAGTGGCACAATTTAAGAAGTAAAATACCTTTTGAGCCCAAGTATTTGCTGAGTTTCTTCAAGAGCTGTGGGCCAGCTGTGGACAGCTAAAGGTGCAGTCCACCAGCTGATCTAGAATATCCTTTCTCCTTGCATAGATAGGAAGTGGCTGGAGTTGTGGGGCAATTTGTTGGTTTTATCTTATAAAAGTGAATGAGACAGCAACTCTGCTGAATTTCTTTGCTCTCAAAATGCAAAACTCAGGGGGATGGTGCAGATCAATAGGAAGATGTGCATACCTCTATGGCTTGAGCACTATCTAAATGCAAACTCCCTGCCTCTTGCAAATTTTACTTTGGATGACTCCTCTATATATCAGTTGCACTCAGTCAGATGAATATTTTGGTTCAATGATTATACAAGCTCTGGAGACAAATCCTTCCTTATTGAAGTCTATAATGCACCTTATATGCTTTTATGTTAAAGCATTCATTTAGAATAGCTTTTAGAATTGCTCATGCTGGGAATACAATTGCAAATAATCCATATTCAGTGACGTTCAGTCTTGTGATTTTTGGATGCCAATGCCTAAGTTTTATTCTGCTTGTGGCAGAAAGTGTTACTTCCCACTGACCTTTGAGAAATTTAAGACTTTTCTCAGGAATCAATGAAGAGCAAGAGGAAAATTCACACATGGAAAACAGTTTGGCTTTATTTTTCAAATAAGCAGAATGATTTATTAGCAGAAGTGTGAATAATGCAGTACAGTAAATCTTGGGGCTGAATGCTGTTTCCTGTGAAATGATCTATGAAAAGGGGAAACCTGTGTGTTCATTCAAGGCAGTGGGAATGCACACACACCCAGGCTATTGCTCAGCTGCCTGCTAATAGGAGCCAGAGTGCCCTGTGAGCATTCAGAGCAGCTTTCAAAGAGAAGAGTTCCACAGGATGAACAAAGTGACTCGCCACATCCTTCCTCCTTTTTCACCGCTCGCAAACCTTCTCGCAAGACTGAGGACAGCAAGTTGGTAACACTGTGTTCAGAGATCTGTCTGCTGACCTACCTTCCCCAGGGCCCTGAGTGCCCTGGAGAGAGTAGGATCTTTCAGACCACAAAAAGGAAGACTTGACTTGACCCTTTTAATAAAATTTTTCTACCAAGATGAAATGCACTACCATTGTAAGAGCTGTATTTTAGACCAAAAATAGAGCTGGGAACAGCTATTCATTATGCAGCATGGCTAAACAGAGCAGAGGGTTGAAAGAGTGAAAAATAAAAAAAGATAAGAATCGCTCAGATATAGAGGCCTGTGTTTGGAGCTCTGCTGCATAAAAGCAGCAACCCTCAGCCATGAAATACAGTTTATTAATTATTTTCTCAGAACCCTGAAGGACTATGAAATTATTATTGTATCATGGCAAATACAAAAATGCTAGCAACCAAAAAATTTCTTTTAGATACAGACCATATTTTGTCTACAATCTTCTGTCTGAAAGTATGTGATTTTAGAATAAATGAAGTTTTCTGGAATGAAGCATGTTTTATTTTTCAATGTCATATGGCATTTTGTCTAGAAATTCACTACACTTCTATTAAAAATATGTCTCTCATAAAGGAAAAAAAAAAGCAAAGAATGCAAGATTTCATTTCAACTTAATTTGCCATTTTTTCACCTTTTTGATCTCACTACCCAAAATATTTGCTTGGGGGTAACCTAAAATGATCCTCTTTCTCTCCTTGATTTTTCATTTTGGGCAGTGAACCAAAAAATCAGTTATATGCATAACTACCATTAATATCTTTCTAACTTACTTAATGGAAAACATTCAAAGGCCTCCTGGAACATCATCTAAGTGTTTTAACTTTTTCCACCCTAACTAAAATATGTGAAAATCACTGACTGGTATGTGCTCAGATATTTAGTATACTTGTGAAAGCAAAACTACCATGTTTTTATACAAACAGCATAGTTCTTAAAGCAGATGGATTTTAAACACTTCAGTAATTCATACAAATATTAAGATTACTAAATCCTGAAGCTAGACCAGTTGGTCTTTGTGGATAAGTATGTCAGATGACATACATCCCTGTGACAAATATGTGGAGATACACACACCTATACAGTGCTGAGGGAAATGCTGGCCTCATAAGGCTCCAATTTCTGAATGCTACAAAAAGTCAGAGAGTGAAAAAAGGCTTTTGATGCAAGTTTTTTACACGTATGTCCTTGCATGCATTATTAATTTTGTTATGCTGATTAAAGCTTCCCATGGTGGATTTTGATAAACATATATTTCCTAAAGTCTATAATTAAACGTGATGAATGCCATCAAATAATACTGTTAACTCATTTTCCAATGAGTTATCATAGTATCATATAATAGTATCACAGTCTGATACTATTCCAGGACCATCAACGTCCCTGAATTTAAATTTCTTTCTGCTTGGCATAAACTACTGAAAGACACATGACAAAATGTAGTAACAAACAACAATTATTTCTCACCTAGCTCCACATCTTGATCATCTGTGAGTACAAGGATGATATTTGGTCTGATATTCTTTCGCTCCTGCTGCACACGTCCTCTGAACCTTGGGGACTTGATGGTGGAACAGTGACTTGTTAGCATTTCAGTACTGAGCACTGCCAACATGAGTGCAAACCAAGAAGGCTTCATAGTAGTTCCAGTATTTCAATGAAAAGACTGATCCAGAAATTCCTGAACTCTAGTTTTCAAGACCTGTAGGGAGGAAGAGAGATTCTGTTCAAGCAATAAATAAACTTCCAGTCATACATTGAAAGGATGGCACTTAGGGAAGTCAAGCCTGACACATACCATTAAACATGATTATAAGCCATATTGTTGAATGAGAGCTTTATTCTGTCATTTTCTAAGAATAAACTCGGTCATTCTGCAACTATGCTCTCTCAAATAATTTTTGCTTGAAGTCATGCCTGTATTTTGTATAGACATGACTTCTGGTAAATTCCCCACAGTGCTCCTTCTCCTACACCCCACGCTTCTTTTTATGCAGCTTGGTTCCTTACATTCAGTACCTGGGTGCAGTAAAAATTTGCTGGGATGCAGACGTGTTCAGAACATCTGTAGGAGGAGCCCTGGGAGAAGGAGAAAGCAGAAGGCTTGTCAGTCAGAGACCTCAGTACTGTGGCTGTGCTTCAAAGTCTCCAGAACTGTTTCTTACAGCTTCTTTCTCTGTCCTGAAAGAAAAGAGTAGAAAAAAATTGCATTCACCATGACTCCCCTACTTTATTTTATATCATACCTATGCAGGGGGTGGATGGCACCTTGGCTGCTAGGGATAAAGGACATGTATCTCACATCATCAGACCCAGGTGCTTTTCCAATATTTATAGTCAAATTTATAGTGAGATTCTGAGAACAAGCAGTAATTCCAGCATGTCACACCTGGCAAGCACTGATGCTGTTTTAGGTTAACCCACCTGCATGAGAGACTAAACCCTTAAAAAGCAGAGGGGAGAGCATGGCTGTCATTTGCAATCTGCATGGGATCACTGTGTGAAAAGTCATCTTCCTACTGACAAGAAGGCTCATATTAAATGACGGTCCATATGATCTTACCCAGCATTGTGAAAGAGCACAACCATCCCTCAATCAATCAACGCCAGAGCTGAGCGCCTCATCCATAATGCACAGTAGCTCTGCCACAGCCTCGTCCTTGATACTCCGCTTCCAGACTTGTCTCAGTGCCTTATCAGAGCCCCCTCTCCGTGCCTGTCAGTCAAACAGCCTTGCTTTTGTAAGACCTGCTGCAAGCACAGAGGCTTGGCTTTGCTGCAGCACATTTAAACCAGTGACTGAAAATGACTGATTGGTCTGGAGAGGAAGGGGTAGCCACTTACACTTTGACATTTTTGGCATTACTGACTGAAGCTCTGCAAAACTTGTCTGTTACACAAGGGAAGGGAGGGAATATCTGGGGGCAAAAAGGAAGGGGGTGGGAAAGAAACCACGGAGTCATGCCTGTTCCCTCCAGGGTATTGACCTGCCACATACATTTCTTCTGGTTTTATTCTGGGACTGTGGATAAAAGCACGGTGATATTGGTCAATTAAAAAAAAACCTCACAAAACCACCCAAGCCCAAGAACAATCAAGAAGTTTGCCCAAGGGGAAGACCGCATGGGAACTGGGGTACGCCTTACATAATTAGACTGGAGCATAAATCACGAGATCTGTGCACCCACACCTGAGACTTCAGACATGCAACATGAGCCACAAACAGATTAATAAACAGAAATAATGAGAGCGACACAGAAGACAAAAGGGGCCTCCAATCACTCACCTAAAAATGCGTTAATAAGGAGATGCTCTAAATTTCAGGGGAAGAAGCCACAGCAGAGGGAGGGGATGGGACTTGGTGCTGGACTGCTAGAAAAAGGATCGTGTTCTTGTTTCCACATACACCTTTTATTTTAAGCTTCGCAAGCTAAACAGTTTCATGCTCCTCACTCTGGCAGGCTGAAATTACACCAGAAGAGTGTGAACGTCTTTAAAAGGAAAACCCAAGTGTCTGTGGCAGAGAAATCTTGTCTTTCATTGTTTCTGCACCAACCAACACTCCAGCCTTCCGCTAACATTACAGCACTGCAAAGTCAATACATGGGATCGCCATCGTACAGCAAATGCTAATTCAGTGATTACACAACATTCAGATAAGTAACTGGAAGTCTGTATTTAGCCTGGATGGACTTTTAAAAATAGTTACATTTCCATGTATATGCTCTTAAGTCACATAAAATCTGACAAGAGCCCCAAAGACCGGGGTTACCAGGGAAGTCAGCTTTCTTCTGACACACACCAGATACATGCTCTTGGTGCAAAAGCAGAAATACAATGTCTCTAGATGTCTGATCTTTAAATAGCGAAACTTTGACTCACATCACAAAGCACGAATGGCTATATGAAGTGAGACTCAATGTTTAGTTTCTTACCTCAGTTGTACAGCAAACTTTTTCAGACAATGTTGACCCAGAAAGTGCAGTCATCTTGACTGCACTGAGCAAACATTGGCACCAGTGTGTTTGAATAATCCCCCACCATATGAAACTGCAAGCTCCTGACAATTACACCTCAGTGCTAATAAAATTTATGCTAATCCAATGGACATTAACAAGTATTCTTCTCTTCAACCTGTCTGGTCTGTATTAGTATTTAAAAAAATTCTTTTCCTCGAGCATATTTGAGGCACCTTAGGCAGGTCTTTGCTAGAAATAAGAGTATGAAAGTTTCTCTTCCTGCTCTAACATTTTTTATTCTTGATGGATAAAGGAAAATATCAGGACATATTTATACATATAAAATTAATTATCCAAGTTTCATTGAATGGTTCTCATACAAGAGCACAGTAATGCCATGTTTTGTTGCTCATCTTTGAGTTTTGCATATGGTAAATCTTTATTAAAAGGTGATGTTTGACAACTACTCCTTTTACAGCCTGTTTCCCAGTCCTAGAAGGAAATTAAGTAAAGAAAACTGTCAAAATACAGGGTTAAAAGGGAAGACAAGGCTGCAGTGTTTGTGTCGGATACTGGCTGGTAGCATATAAGTGCCTCTACAGATACTGCAATTTGTCTTAAGAAACACACAAAAATAGGAGAAATTCTAAAAAAGAACTTTTCAAAGTTACATGGGAAGCAAATTTTTTTTTTGTGTTAAGAAATCAAGATGGTACTGCAAAATGCTTTTTTTTCTAGCCAAATAAACAAGTGCTGATCTAACTTCTATATGGGAATTTTACAGTATATTTTTCTTATAGATGATACCTATGATAACCAAATTGCAGTTGGTAAATAAATGATCCAAATAATTTTTTTCCCCACAGGAGCAGAAATACATAGTTTGCAATCACCTTTCAAGGAATAAAAGAACTTGCATCTTTAGTTGTTTCGATGCAGCTAGTATTATAACATGCAGTTCAGGGACTTATTGGTGTGGAGAATTAATTACCCATGAAACTTGAATTACACTGGCAGAGCACTGCAAAGAAAGGCTACAGTGCCACTTTGTGTGGTGTGGCATAAAAAAGTATGAGGACTTTATTTCAAGGTCTTGTAAGAGAGTATCTTTCAGTGATTTAGAAGAAAAGCAAAGGGCAGAACAGTATCTTTTGAAAGTCTGTAGACTTGTTACTAATTTTGATCCAGAACGGTTCAAGATTTTTCATGGCATTGACTGAAGTGCTTAGTTTGGAACACAGCAAAAGGCAGCCAGTATTCAAAAAAGAGCATTTGTCACTTGGTTCTTATGTCCACATTTTCACTCAGTTCACTTAAAATGACATTTTGTGTTTGGCCAATAAAATCTGTCCAGGGTCATGCACTTTGTTTATGAAACGGGGCACTGAGTATGCACATGAATATGCCATTATAAGTTTTAAAGATATATGAACTTATTGATATTCAATAATCTACAAATGTGTCTTCCACGTATCATTGCACGGGGAATTTGGCATATACGAACACATTTCCTGTCTGTAAATCTGACATCAAATGTGGGGACAGTGAGTAATGATACTGGACATACGTCCCTCTCCAGTACCATGTGCTATGCAATGCCCCACATCAATAATTCATGACCAAGGGGTAACAAAGGGAAAACAACTTTGTTTTCTCTGCATTAGTGTTTTCTTTTGAGCATGAACATTGAGGCATTATATTATCCAAAGTCATAGGTCTCTGATCGGCTGAATGTTCTCTGCCCCGAGATGCATGGGATGGTTCTGCAGCAGCCCATGCTCTGAAGAATGAGTCTGGACTCTTCACTTCTTGGTCTTCAGGTTGTTTACTATTTCTTATCTACAAGATTTTCTTTATGCCCAGCCGAGGTCCACTCAGCACGGCAGCCACAAGCGCTCCGACCACCCCCGAGGCGGTGTCATCCTTTTATACTACAAACTACATATATCGTATTTACTTTTAATTTCCAATACCTATCACCCATGTTAGACAGAGCATTTCTACCCTAAACCAATCCCAAAGTGCCAACATCACAGCAGAAAATGGAGAACAAGAAGAAGAAAGAAGGACTAGACACACCCCGATTCCTCCATCTTGTCCCCATAACCTCCACACCAAAAATCCTAAAATCTTCATTTTCACCCTGTGAATACTTTATTATTACACCATTCAAACCTGTGTGGCTTTCACATCCCTATACCAAGCTGGCAATTCTTTGGAAGGATCAAAATCAAGCCACCAGGTGTTCCGGGCAGCATGCCAGGGTCTCCGAGCCCCCCGACGGGGCTCTCGGCAACCCTGGACATCCAGAGGGATGTGCTGAGTTCCCACAATAGGTTAAGGCCCACTGTCCTAGTGGCCTTTCCTTTGAAACAAAAATGGATCAGATGATAAAGGAAAGAGTGTAAATAATACCAAGAATACTAGTAATGATGTGGACTGTAACAGTGGAGCTTAAGAATCACAGAATCATCAGGGTTGGAAGGGAACTCCAGAGATCATATAGTCCAAACCATGGCAGCACAGCCCTCAGGTGTATCAGTCACTGCCCTCAGGTTTGTACCACCAGAAAACATGAGAATGAGAATTCTGGCTTCTGTTCCCCACATATTAGTAGTAAATATGTGCAGTGAATTGAGAATGTAAGGTATCACAGAGTTCTTAAATAAATAAACTTCTAGTGCAGCACCTA